TTCTATTCAATATCAAGAATAGAATTACAATAGGAGGAGCAAACTCTCACACTCAACTATTACAAAAAACCAATCCTCACCAATACACTTCTACACTAAGTGTATTTCACTCTTCACACACTTTTCTCACTTTCTAAACTGATACTATGAACAACAATGGAGCACTCTATTTATAGGGCTGGTTTGGAGACATGAGGAAGTTGCATCCAAGCTTCCTAGTTATCTTCATATCTTCTCCCACGCCTATTTGTTGGAGAGCTCTTTCCAAGAAGGTGCCTCCATGTTAAGGTGTCTCTTGGCAACTTCCAAGAAAGAAGGTGGAAGATACCTACAAATCTCCCCCTCCACCTTTTTCTTTATTTCTCTCGTTCCTGCGGTGCTCGCTGGCTCCCCCTCGCTGGCAACAAGTATCCATTCGGATGTGGAGTATTTTCTTTGTGGAACTATGCCTCGCATAGAACGTCGAACATGAATACCTTCAGATTCGTCTTCAGATGAAGGCTCCCCCTGCTGAGGAATATCATCACTGTGAGTATCATCATCACCTGCTGAACCATCACTCTCGTGTTCAGTAGAATCATGCATCTCCTCATCGCTGAGAGGAATGTTTGATGATACAGGCACTTCGTCTTCTCGAGTATGTTGTTGGCGGATTATTGGAGCACACCCATGAAACTCGTTTTCATGAAATACAACATCTCTGCTTCGAATAACTTTCTTCACTTCGGGATCCCACAACCGGTATCTGAATTCTTCATCTCCATAGCCGATGAAAATACATGGGTTTGACTTGAGATCAAGCTTCTATCTCAACTCCTTGGACACATGTGCAAATGCCTTGCACCCGAACACTTTCAAGTGAGAGTAAGAAACATCTCTTCCTGACCATTTCTTCTCTGGCACTTCAAAGTTTAAAGGAACAGAAGGTGACCTGTTTATAAGATAACAAGCTGTCAGCACAGCTTCACCCCAAAATGGCTTAGGTAGCTTAGCCAGACTCATCATGCAACGAACTTTCTCCATAATGGTCCGATTCATTCTTTCGGCTACACCATTGTGTTGCGGAGTTCGTGGAACCGTCTTCTCATGTCTGATTCCATATGCGGCACAATATGCTGAGAATTCTCGGGAAGTGTACTCTCCTCCATTGTCTGAACGCAGACACTTCAGCTTCTTCCTTGTTTCTCTTTCTACCATGGTATGAAATGATTTGAATCGATCAAACGCTTGATCCTTACGATTTAAAAAGTAGGCCCATACCTTTCGTGATGCATCATCAATGAATGTCACGAAGTATCTGCTTCCTCGAAGTGACTCCTCTTCAATGGGTCCACATACATCAGAGTGGACAAGACTGAGTAACTCTGTATGGTTCTTCTTGGTAGAACTGAAGGAAACCTTGTGTTGTTTCCCAAATAGACAGTGCTCGCATGAATCTAGGGCAACACCTTTTCCCATGGAAATGACTTCCTTCTTTGCAAGAGTTGTCAATCCCTTCACGCTCAAGTGACCTAACCTCCGGTGCCACAAGTTTGGTGATATCTCTTCTTCAACATCATTGAGACTCGGATGACCCAACTTTGCATGAGTTTTATAAAGAGTGCCACAAATATGGCCTCTTGCAACAACCAAGGAACCTTTAGATAGCTTCCACGTACCTTCTTTAAATCGGTTAAGATATCCTTGTTGATCCAGAGCTGTACCGGAGATAAGATTCAATCTAAGATCCGGAACGTGTCGAACATCTTTCAACACAAGTGCGCATCCGACATTGGTTATTATGTGCACATCACCAATGCCAACAATCTTCGAGAAACTGGTGTTTCCCATCTTCACAGCTCCAAAGTCTCCGGACTTATAAGTTGTGAATAAGTTCTGGTGTGGAGTGGCGTGAGATGATGCGGCTGTATCAATCACCCACTCAACATCATGAGTGCCTACGTGTAAACATTCTTGTTCACCATGTGTAACAAGACACACGTCTGATGACAAACTAACCATGGTCTCACCATCTTCTTGGCTAGTATTTTGACTCGTCTGTGGCTTCTCTCGTAGAAACTTTCTACAATCTATTTTCCTATGTCCATAATTACTACAGTAATTGCAATATCCTTCGAACCAAGTATTGTTTTCAAAGGACATACCTCTCTCTTGTGATCTTCCGCGAACTTGAGAATTTCCTCTACTTTGACCTTGACCTCTACCTCGACCTCGACTTCTTCCTCCATTTCTGCCTCCCCCTCGTCTGTTAGTTTCTGATATGAGGACATATGATTGTTCCGTCCCGGCTTCCTTCCTTCGGGCTTCTTCATTCATCAGGGCATCTGTGACCATCTGCATAGTCACCTTCCCATTTGGAGCAGAATTACTGAGAGTGACAACAAGAGTCTCCCAGCTGTCAGGTAGAGAGCTCAAGAGTAGTATCGCCTGCTCTTCATCTTTGAGAACCCATCCGGTGGTGCTCAACTGATTCACAAGATCCTGGAATTGACTGGTGTGTTCTGACACCGAAATACCCCCACGTAATTTGTGGTTTACTAATCTCCTCATTAGTAACGTCTTATTTCGGGCGGTTTTTGCTTGATTCATGCTACCAAGCTTCTCCCATAGTGTGTAAGCACTTTGTTCTTGAGCAACATGGTGGAACACACTATGATCTATCCATTGTCGAATTTGTGCGACAGTTTTTCGATTCATTTTTGTCCATTCTTCATCCGTCTTTTTATCCGGTTTCACACCATTATTATCAAGAGGATCCGCTAAATCCCTCAAATTTAGCAAATCCTCCATCCGAGGCTTCCACATATTGTAGTTTGTGGATGTGAGCGCAATCATGGTGTCCGACGATGATTTATCCATAATAAAATGCTCTATATATCTCGTACCTTATTTTCGAAGCCGAATTTGGACAAACGGAGCTCACTGTTGGATCCGGAATGACCGAAAATGGTAAGAACCGGTCTGACCTCGTCCAAAACTGGTCTGGAAACGGGTGAACCAGCCTCCAAAAGCACGAACCGGTTCGGTCCGGTTCAGGCAGCAGCCCAGCCTGCAGCCCAGCAGGCGAATGACGTGGCTCTGCTCCCTCCCTAACGTGGCGATGACGTGTAGCCACGTGGCGTCTGACGTGGCTCACAGCGGACGGCTCGGGTGGATGACGTGGCGGATGACTCGGCACCACGTGTCGCTGACGTGGTCCAACGTGGCGATGACGTGGCAGCTGACGGGGATCGTCTTCTTCCTCTGGACTGCGTGATGACGCAGTGATGATGCAGGCAGCTTTCCGGTGGCGCGTACGGCCTCTTCCGGTGGCCAAAAAAATCCCCAAAAACACCAGATTTCTCGTCTCGCCGAGACGAATCTAATGGTATGATCAGATCCTGATTCCGAGCAACTTGAAAAATCACGATTTTCTAACCTGTAGAAATTTATCTGAAAATGAGAAAACAGTGTATGGAAGCTCAACCTCGCTCTGATACCACTTGTTGGGATTGGAAAATTCTTCTATTCAATATCAAGAACAGAATTACAATAGGAGGAGCAAACTCTCACACTCAACTATTACAAAAAACCAATCCTCACCAATACACTTCTACACTAAGTGTATTTCACTCTTCACACACTTTTCTCACTTTCTAAACTGATACTATGAACAACAATGGAGCACTCTATTTATAGGGCTGGTTTGGAGACATGAGGAAGTTGCATCCAAGCTTCCTAGTTATCTCCATATCTTCTCCCACACCTATTTGTTTGAGAGCTCTTTCCAAGAAGGTGCCTCCATGTTAAGGTGTCTCTTGGCAACTTCCAAGAAAGAACGTGGAAGATACCTACAAAATATCCATCATATATTTTAATATGAAAAAATGACATTTTAAAACACTTTTTTCAAATTTCAGATCGCCAGAGGAGGAACCAAGGTGGTGGTGGTGCCAGCGATGACATGGGTGGCTGCAATAGGGGTAGAGCAACCGACAGTGACGGCAGCAAATGATGTGGCATGTAACGACGGTGGAGGCAGAGAAATTGAGGAAAAATTCTGGATATTTTTTGCATTGCCGGATCTCCGACGATTGGCGGCGGCATGACAGGCGGCGTGACGCTGGATAGGCGGCGCCGGATCTCTGCCAAGGCCGTCGGATCTCCGGCAGGCGGCGGCCGGTGGCGGAGGAGCCGAGGAGATGGCCTGCGGTAGTTGCTCCATGGTGATGATTGCTGTTTGGTGAGCTTCGTACGCATGCGGAAGACCTGCATTAGTTGGGACTTCTAATTTTTAAGGATAAATTGGTCAACTGATGTTATTTTTAGTCTTATTAAAAAGTAGACTCCTATCCACGGAATTATCTCTTTTGAGAATGGTGGTGTTCATTTAGTTGTCTGCTACTTTCAATTATTCCGTATTAGACTAAATTACTAAATTTGCATGCCAATTGTTCCTCCTCTTATTTTCATACATGGACTTTTGATTTTAAAAAAACAGAATAAAAACCGAAATCATACTGAAACCAACCGAATCAACCAAACCATAGTTGGATATTTTTATCAAAGAAACCGAATCGAACCGAACATTTCACTTTGGTTCTGTGTTTGGTTTTAGGTCAAAACCGAACCGAAGCAACCGAACTCACCCCTATCCATAGGATATGCAATACCCATCGAATAAAACAAGGAATTGGTTAGGTTTTCCAGGGCCTAGGAGTTGCACTAGGCTTGGACTTGAGAATTGAGACCTGCGCGTTTTTGTCCGTAGCATATGCCATTATCATACCCTTACAAATGCTCCGCATTTTAGACATTGTGCAAAAATAAATTGCCCTAAAAATGTAAGAACAAACCCTTTAATGTGCACCTATACTACTTATTATCCCACGAAAATAGATCTGCAACTCTGGAAGTAATTACATGTACATTAGGATACATTTATCTGCAGTACCAAAGATTATTACTAACCATTTCTAGAAAAACACTAAACATGAAAATAAAAAACTCAAACTGCAATATGTATGCAGAAAATGAAGCAGCTGTAATAAATGCTGAGAACAAAAAGATTAAAGATTCATGAACTGAAATCAACCAAGAGCTACAAGAATAAATTGGAACCTGATGAAAACGAATCCGGCAATTAACTAAAATAATAATAATAACAATAATACAAAAGATTAAAGAAGCATTACATTCTAACTTAACGTCCAAACGGCATATAATAGAGATGTGCTGAAATTTCCTTCCACAGAAAAGGAAAAAACAATAATTAACTAACTCTGATTTGTTCTCCATCAAAGCAAGCAAAATGACCGGATTCCTCTTCTTCGGATGCATATAGGGGTTTCTTTTTACTAGTTACTCCACTATTATTTCATCGTTTCTTTCTGATCGATCCCTGATCATCCCCAATATCCGGACCACTTCAGTCATACAAGGCCTGTTCCCCGGAGCCTGTGCCGTGCATGCCAACCCTAATTTCACTACCTCAACTGCCTCTTCCCCAGGAAACTTTCCCTGTAGCCTCCCGTCAATGCACTCCTCCAACATGTCTTCTACATTTGCCACTTTTAGCATGTCAACCAGAACCACTACGTCATCCTCCATATACTCCACCGGCCTCTTTCCTGTCACTATCTCCAGAACCAGAATCCCGAAACCGTACACATCACATTTTTCTGTTATTTTATCTGTTTTGCAACCAAATTCGGGTGCCATGTAACCCAGTGCACTTTGGATTTTGCTACTCAACACGTACCGATCGAGCATAGGGAGCAACCTGAAAGGAAGAGTTTGTATTACTTATTAGTATATGAAGGAAAATAGCTCTCTTTGGACTACTCCCTATCAGGTGAGGTGTCTCATACCCTGAATTTTCATTCTAAAAGATCGAACCTGATAAAAGTAACAAGGGTTTATCTAATGTCTTATATTTGTGTTTTAGTTCTATATATGGCTAGTGAGGAATGATCTAAGATCATTTTAATAATTGTAGCCTTCTCAGTAAGCAAAATAAGTTGTGCATTTTATCTTATCAATCATTTCAGCCAGCACAGTGAATCTGCATAAAAACTATTGATAAATGACTACAAAATGGGCTGTAAAAATTATTTGGAATTAGTTACTGCCTTGTCACACAAACCTTGCTAGCCCGTAATCCGCAACTTTTGATTCACAGGTCCTGTCATCAATGAGAATATTGCTTGATTTTAGGTTGTAGTGGACTATGTTGATCTGATGCAAATGGGCCAAGCTCTTAGCAGTCCCCAGAATTATATTGAATCTTTCATTCCAAGTCAAGTTCGGTCCTGACCGTTCATGTAGACGCTTATACAGATTCCCACCCGACACGAATTCATATATGATAAGTTGCAATGACGGAGTCCAATAATACCCTTCTACACCAACAAGATTTGGGTGCCCACGGGCTTTACCCAATTTCTCAACCACCCTTTCGAACTCTTCTCTGGACTTAACTAGGCTAGAGACAGTCAGCTTCTTGATCGCGACAGGTTGCCCGTTCTTAAGAACCGTCCTGTAAACTGACCCAAACCCACCCCGCCCGAGCTCACAATCCTTGTTGAGTAGCGCGTGGCCCCCCATGTCGATATCATAGGCACCCGAAAACATGACCAGTTTACCCGAATCTGAAGCGGTGGACGACGAGCGACTAAACCCATCCTCACCGGAGAATGCCACCTCAGCAGGAGGGTGTGATGTGGCTGACCGTACAGTAAGATTCAAAACAGCAATGGTTATCATGCCAACAACTATAACAGCTGCCGACCCGATAGCTATAAGGGCAGAAACACTGAAGATTTTCTTCTTGTGGGGGAAACCTTGATGGGTTGATCCGGCGGGGGTAGGGGTGTCGTAGTCACCTGGATTCATCACAATGGGTTTGGGAGAGATGGAATGACATGGCCGGTTAACTGCGGCCCCACAAAGGTCAGGGTTGTGGGAGACGGAGGAGGGGGAAATGGTATTGAAAAAATTACCACCGGGGAGTTGACCAAGTAGATGGTTATGGGAGACGTTGAATGAAGAGAGGTGTGGGAGGTTTGCTAGCTGCTTTGGCATTATGCCCGTGAGTTTGTTGAAGGAAAGATCCACATGTTGAAGGGCAGTGAGCTTTGCCAGTGTGACAGGGAGCGGCCCACTTAAATTGTTATGTGAAAGAAACCTGTAAAAGAAAAGACGTCTTAGTAATTAGCATTGTTCTAAAAAGTGCTAGGCATGCCCCAATAGGTGGACACAAAAAAGTGAAACCGAAAGACCGAATAAAAAACAAAGAGTGGGTGATCTTTTCAGGTTAACCGTGCCAATTTTTTACAAATTTTAATACGATGAACCAGCTGAAAAATATACAATACTCAACCGTGCCCTACGCAATAATCTAGGGTCTAGTGTCTTAGCGGACTTGGACGGGGATCTATTGGAGCCTTGACGAGGCTGAATGCGGACAAGGCAGCCATATACTCTTCAAATTAGGCCTAAGTCACCCTAAAAGTCCATCAGGAGGACCCTCACGAGATGAAATTTACTTCACACTTCTATATTATCCTAGTTGACACTAGCACGTCATCATGCCCCAACCAGATTGGACAACTTGATGGGTGGATATATGGGCTAAATCTTCCATAAACGGGCTAGTCAAAGCTATTCGTGCCAAAAAATAAACAAATGAATCACATTTGTATTAAACTCTGAAATCACATTAAATTAGGCATAACTCGTCCTGAAAGGGCTCAAAAGGTGTACCCTCACACTCATATACTACATGTTCCATATTAGTTGTCCCACTATCCTCTTCTCAAATTACTTGGCTCAGTTCTTTTTTGGAAATTGACCTATCCAAAAAGCTAGTAACAATGCACATTTTAAAGGTGCAAAACTTCGAAAAAACGAAAAGAAACCTAAAGAAAAGGCTTTTTGTCTTGCATCTACAAACACTTAAACTACGTGAAACCCCTACTTGGACAACTAGCATTGAGCGAGGCATTATACAACATCCTGAGCATGAAACGAGCCATTTGCCGCAGTCCTAATAGCTCTTGTTGGCAGTTACAAAATATAACTCAGTACTCTTTTTTTAAGATATCTGTACTAAGGTGAGAAATACTAATTAACTCAAACCATCTTGGTCACGGTAACTTTAACGAGAATATCTGTTGTGAAAGAACTTCTAGAATTAATTTACCGTGCAACATCTTTAAAAAGCAATTGGTGTTGTCCTAATAACTCTGAAGTATGTTGGCAGTTACCATATACTCCCTCCGTCCCATTCAAAGGTTCTCACTTTCCTTTTTTAAACATCCCAACTAAAAGTTCCTAATTTCTATTTTAGGAAACAATTAACACTTTTAAATAACAATTTAATCGTCAAATATTAAGAATAATACATCTATAACATCACAGCTATCAACAATAACCCATTATATTATATACCCATCACAACTATTTCTCAAAATATACTCGAGTTAGCATATTTAATTATTGTCTAAATAATAGTGCCATTTTGCAATGAGAACCTTTGAACGGGACAGATGTAGTTAATCCAGATTCTATTCTTTTGGAAAGATAGCGAGATTTAAGGCTCCGCTTAGTGGCCGAATTTGGCTGATTAGGTTTATTTTTCTTATTACCAGAGCAAGTAGTCATTTGTCCTAATAGATGTAAGCAAACGCTTTTTCTGTATAAAAAATTCATCACATTCAGTCATTTTAGCTAAATACCTTATCAAATGGGCTCTAAGGTTAAAAGTTAAACCGCTACAATAAGCTCAAACCATCCCAGCTCATAAGCATGAAAACTAGTTACATTTACAAGCCTAAGAGATGTATGAACGCAGTTCAAAACAGATCAAGAAAGAAGATAAAAGACGGATTCACAAGAAACGTAGGAATTTGAAGAGCTTACAGTGACATTAGCGCCAAACAGTTCCCAATTGAAGTTGGGATATTTCCCGTCAAGTTGTTTTTCTGCAGCCTCAGTTCCCTTAGAGAGGTCAACCCTCCAATTTCCAAAGGGATGCTACCATTCAACGAATTCCCACTCAAATCCAGTATATCAACGGATTTGGAATCTCCAATACTCTTGGGAATAGTTCCTGTGAGTGAATTTCCAGACAAGTTCAAGAACTTCAATCCAGTGAAATTCCCAAAAACTGAAGGAATTTCCCCAGTAAATCTATTCTCCGAAAATATAATATTCTGCAATTCCAGAAGGTTCTTTAACCAAGAAGGGATTTCACCTGACAATGAGTTATGACTAACATCCAAAGACTGAAGCTTTATGCAACTGTTCATAGACTCAGGTAAGATGCCCGAAATTGAATTCTTGGATACGTTTAATACCCTCAGTGACTTGAGCTTCCCTAGTGACATCGGAAACTTACCCGAGAAGGTGTTTTCTGAAAGATCCAAAGTCTGAAGGTTTCTCATTTCACCGATCCATTCTGGAAAATCCCCTGAAAATGTGTTTCGTCTCAAGATTAGGTCACGACACAACCCTAGCTTCCGGAAGGTCCCAGGAAGTTCTCCGAAAAAAGAATTTTGGCTCAAATTGATAATCCTTAATAGCAAACAGTTCCCAATCCAGTAAGGCACTGTACCCTTAAATCGATTTTTCTGCAGATTTATTCCTCTCAAATTGACCAAACCTTTAATGCTGTTCGGAATCTCACCCTCAAGCAAATTATCTGACAGATCAAGAAATCTAAGGGAATTCAGAGACCAAATTGAAACTGGTAACAAACCCGAAAACTGATTTGAAGACAAATTCAACAAATCAAGCCCAGAACACAATCCCAAGCTCAGAGGGATTTCCCCTGAAAAGTTGTTATTAGCCAGAGAAAGTGATCTTAAGGACCCACATTCTTGGAAGAGATCCACCAGTATTCGCCCAGATAAACTGTTACCACTCAAGTCTACCGTCTCAAGATTAGCAAGCTGGGTAAAACGGACATTTAACCCTCCAGTCAAGTTGTTCATTGCAAGAGAAAGCTTTTTAAGAGACTTTAAACGAAGAAGGCCTCTACTAATCCTTCCTGAAAGCCTAAAACCGTTGAGATTAATCTCGGTGACTTGGTTTGATCTTTGGTCACATGTGATTCCTGTCCAATTACAAGCAGTAGCATCGTCTTCAATCCAAGAAACCAGATTACCATATGGATCTTCAATGTCAGCCTTAAACACAATTAACCCTAGAACATCATCATTTAATGAAGGGTCCACAGAACTAACTAAAATGGGAGCTAAAAAAATCAAGAACAGAAGAAAGAGCATCATTTTCATCGCAATTTCCCAGCTCAACTCATAAAGATGCAACCTTTCTTATTTTTCCAATATAGTTCTTATTTAGAGATTGTAATAATGCCGAAGCTCTGCTGGAGCTCAAAATGACAAATTTCAAATCTTTAGCCCTCACAAATTTAACATTTTTCCATAACGGCTACAATTCAGTCCTAAGAGAAAAACCCAGAACCGAAAAGTACAAAGGATTAAGAAAGGATATCTACGGTGGAAAGAATAAATCCTTCGAAATTGAACTTGTAAGACCCGCAACGCAATTAAGGGAAAGAGACAAAACAAAGCAAAAAGTGGAAACGTTGAAATCAGCTAAAGAGAAGTGTAAAGAACCATGACATGAAATGTAAGGAAATACGGAGTAGCAGTTAAGAGATGCTAAGAATTACAAAGAGTCTAGCTGATTTCAAGGTGAACTTCATTACTAGCAGAAATCAGATATGGAATGGAAAATAGGAGCTTGGGATAATGCGATGTCACCAAAAATAGGAAGGGGGTCGCGGAAGCTTGGGCTGGCGAAGGAGAATGATGGTCGGGAAATGTGACAGCGTCGTTGGCGAGTTAGTGAGTTACCGGCGAATTGGTGAGTCTGAAACATAAGCATTAAAAGCTCTCTTTATTTTCTAGCTGTTCTCTGAGCGCCGGTCAGAATCTTTATTAAGTGGGTAAAAAAGATAAAAAGGTGCACAAGGGAAGAGAAATAAGCATGCACTTTGTACTCCCTTAGAATTTGTCAACTTTTATTTTTTGAATGTCTGACTTTGTCATTTTTCTATTTTAGTAAAGAATTTGTGGTTCCGGTTAATTCTCTCTCCTCTGCACAAACCTCAACCACACAGTTTTTACTTTATTAATTTTCGTGCCGATCAAACTTGCAAAGTTTTAAGGAACGAAGGGAGTACTTTATTAATCTTCGAGGCCCCCCAACCCCGACCGGACGGTACGTTGGAAGGATATAAATTGGACTATAATCTCAATCTGACAGATAGAGAGTGGAGCTCTATCCCCGGTACTTGCAGAAGCCCTATGCATTTTTAGCATAATAATCCCTCATTGCAGTTGCCGAGATTCGAACTCAGGACCTAACCCTTATGCCACTCCCTTGCTACCAGTTGAGCTACATCCAGGTAAGTTTTTTAATCAATAAAATTATGTGTGTACAAGTATTTTGTAGTTACTCCCTATATTTTATGAGTCATTCTCGAGTATAAATGGGTAACCAAAATATGGTACACCTAGATTTTTTTTTGTATTTTATTACTCGATCTCAATTTCAAAATTATGAATTTACTAAAAGTTGTAGTGTAAAAATGTTTTTAAATTTCAAAATAGTGCATTGATGTTTTTTTCTTTAAATAGGAGTATTTTCTACCAAATTTGGAAAAAATGTCATGTTTAAGGTGGGGTAATATCAAACCTGGCAAACATAACTCCTTTTTAGGTAATAAAAATATGACAACCCTATTTTTGAATTTCAATTTTTTCTCAGATTTAGGGAATTTTCCCTTATGGAATTGTCCCATGATGATAGTTATATTTCTACTTTGGGTAGAAAACTAAAGTGCATTACCATTTTTGAGCTTGTTTGGTAACATTAAAATAGACCGAATCGATTGATGTTGTTAAAGTTCATGAAGTTCAGCGAATTCAACCATAAAATAGTTAAATGGTACTCTACAATGACTTCAACACAATTCAGCACACGAAATCAAAAGTTACATTTTGGTAAAAAAATTGATTAATAATGTTGATAAGCCAAAAAAATATGGTCACTAAACAGGTTAAATATCATCCACCTTATTTGCCCCCCCCCCCCCCCCCCACACACACTCATCCCTGTGTTCATCTCTGCCTTTAATCTATGTCCTCGTCTCCTCTTTCCACACCACATCTTCATTTGTTGACCCCGGAAAAAAAAATGATATTCCATCTCTGAGAGGCCCCCAACACCGATCGAACAATTAGATGAGATGATATAAATTGGACTTTAATCACAAGTTGACAGATAGAGAGTGATGTTTTGGCTCTCTGATATTTGCAAAGACTAGGGGTGGGCGCGGTCCGGTCCGGTCCGATATTTTACCGAACCCGTACCCGAACCGTTACTATTGAAACGGTTCGGTTCGGTCTTAGACCTAAACCCGTTCGGTTCGGTTCCATTTTCAAACGGTCTGGTACCATGCCATACCAATGCCAAACAATGCTACTTTTTTCGATAAATTAAAACTTAGTCATCATTCCAAAATCCACACAATTATCAATTTTCATACTACCTTCGTCCTAAAAAACTTTGTCATTTCAAAAAAATTGAACCATGATTTTGATTAGTATAGAGTATTATGGAAGTTATAAATTTTATACTTTTAGGAAAGTATTTTTAACAAAGAACATTTTCATATAATTTTTATATTATAAATAATTCTCAATAAAAAATATAATTGGTCAAAGTTTTGAAAATGGAAAAGTTTTTTGGGACAGAGGTAGTATTACATAGTTAATGAATTTCTTATAAACTATAATAGTACAAAACATAAATAACTATCAATAACATAGTTAATGAATTTCATATAATACTATTCATTTTTACCGATCCGGTTAACTAACCATTAACAAAGTGCAAATGAGTAATCAAAGTAATTAATGGTAATATGGTATACATGTATATATAATTGTAAAATTATATGAATTAATAAAATTATAATTCGGTTCGGTTCGGTCCGGTATCGGTTCTCATTTTATGAGAACCGGTCATGGCATGGTTTGGATTCGGTCCGGTCCGGTCCGGTTCGGGACAATTTTTGAGAACCGTTTGAAATCTCGTTTTCCGGTCCGGTACCATACCGGTCCGGTTCGGTACCATGCCGGTGATAGAGTATATATCTAGAGAGAAGTGAGAGCTAGAGAGAGAAGTGCAAGTAGATGCTTCAATAGAATGATTTTGTAACCCCCAATAACTACCTCCAGAGGAAGTATTTATAGGAAAAATACGGGCTGGGCTCCCAAGCCTTGGGCTTGGGAGGCCCATTTACAACTGGACCGCTATTGGGCCGAATACAAAGTAAATGATGGAATATATAAATGGGTAAGTGTAAAATCTAGTTCTGTGAGTCCTCTGTGGCCGACGAGGGTCTAGCCAACGAGGGCACGGCCGATGAGGGCACGGCCGATGAGGACACCCCGGTTCCTTGGCTTCAGGGTCACCTTCTGAGTCGGTCTCTCTTCGGCTGACGAGGGTCCTTTGGCCGACGAGGGCACCGCGTAGTTGCTTGTGCTTTCTGTTCTTCTGAGTATGTGGGTCCTGGGGCCTAGACCCATATACTCCATCAGGAGTCCCCCACTCTCTAAGCTGAGGCAACCCATATACTCCATCCACCGTCTCTGTCTCATGTTTAACTCTTTCTGAGTAAACACGTACTTCAGGCTTTTGTGGTCGGTGTATATATGACATGTTTCCCCGTAGAGATAATGTCTCCAAATCTTCAATGCAAACACTACTACCCCCAGCTCTAAGTAATGAGTGGGATAATTTACCTCATGCTTCTTCAACTATCATGAAGCATAGGCAATCACCCTCCCATTCTGCATCAAGACACATCCAAGCCCTTGGATGCTTGCGTCGCTGTAGACATCGTACCCCACACCCTGTTTGGGTAGTGCAAGTACTGGTGCCTCGGTCAATCTCTTCTTCAGTTCAAGGAATCCCTTCTCACATCGGTCATCCCATACAAACTTGGCCCCCTTTCGAGTGAGCTTTGTCAATGGCGATGCCAAAACTGAGAGCTTCTCCACAAATTTTCGGTAGTATCCTGCCAATCCAAGGAAGCTACGAATTTCCTTGACGTTCTTTGGCCTCTCCCATTCAGTAATGGCCTCAATCTCCTTGTTATCTACGGCAATCCCTGATCCCGAAACCACATGCCCGAGAAAGCCAATCTCCCTTAGCCAAAATTCACATTTGGAAAACTTGGCATAGAGTTGCTTCTCCCGTAGTGTCTCAAGAACAAGTATCAAGTGCTCCTCATGCTCTTCTTCACTCTTTGAGTAAATCAAGATATCGTCTATGAACACAATCACAAACCGGTCCAAGTATTTATGAAATACTCGGTTCATCAAGTCCATAAATGCCGTCGGGGCGTTGGTTAGCCCGAACGACATCACTAGGAACTCGAAATGACCATACCTTGTTCGGAATGCACTCTTCGGTATGTCATCCTCCTTTATCTTCAGTTGGTGGTACCCCGACCTCAAGTCAATCTTCGAAAACACCGTCGCTCCTCGGAGCTGATCAAACAAGTCATCAATCCTAAGCAAGGGATACCTATTCTTGATCGTGACCTTGTTCAGTTGACGATAGTCAACGCACATTCGAAGTGTTCCATCTTTCTTTTTCACGAAAAGGACCGGCGCTCCCCACGGAGAGTGACTCGGCCTTATGAAACCATTATCCAATAGCTCTTGCAATTGGGTTTTCAACTCGTTAAGTTCAGCGGGTGCCATTCTGTATGGCGGTATAGAGATTGGTTTGGTGTCGGGTTCAACCTCGATCACGAACTCAATCTCCCTATCATGTGGAAGTCCCGGAAAGTCTTTTGGGAAGACATCCGGATACTTGCACAATATTCTCACATCGTTGATGTCTACTTCTTTTTTGGCTTTTTCCACCACGTAAGCTAGATATGCGTGACGTCCCTTTCTCATCATATTCCTCGCTCTCACGGCGGATATGATACAACTGTTTGATTTGCCTTTATCTCCCTCGAAACGTAAGGTCAAACCTTCACCGCTTTCGAGTTCAAGAACCTTCGTATAACAATCAACCCTAGCATGATGCTTCTCTAGCCAATCCATCCTGAGGATCGCGTCGAACTCGATCATGCTCAGCGGTACGAAGTCACACGTCAAGTTCTGTCCCTCCACCTCCACCTCACACGATGGATAGTGGCTATCTCTTTCGATGTCATCCCCTAGAGGCGTTAATACCAATAGGGTTTGATCAATCAGTACAAGTGGTCCGTTGAATCCGCTGGCGAACGCCTCACTCACAAATGATCGTTGCGCCCCGGTATCAATAAGGATCCTTGTGCCTCTCCCGTTTATCTTTAGTGTTCCTACATTCATAAGTAATGTAAGACACAATATCTAATTAATAGGCTCGTTACTTAAGTCGTAGAGTATGTTGGTCGTGGTTCAGGTGAAGTCCGTTCGACACCCTTCCGAAATTCCCCGGTTTCTAACCTTTAGAACCGCTCTAGGACTAAACCAGGTGAAAGCCGGCCGCTTTTCACGAAAGCCGGCCGGTTTTTGTCTGCGAGAAAAATCCCTGTATGTAAATCACGAAAGCCGAGCGGCTTTCACGAAAGCCGGCCGATTTTCGTCGCCGTAGTTTTATTCATGGAATGGTTTAGAAGTCGGCCGGTTTCTACGAAACCCGGCCGGGTTTCAGCAGCGCAGGAATCCCCAGGCCCAACGAAAGCCGGGCGGTTTCCATGAAAGCCAGGCGGTTTTCAGCTGCGAGAAATTCTCCAGGTCAGACATATACGAAAGTCGGCCGGTCTTTACAAAAGCCGGCCGGTTTTTGGTTGCGAGAAATTTTCTGATTTAATGTTGACGAAAGCCGGGCGGTTCTCGGTGGAAGCCGGCCGGCATTCGTTGCCGTGGTATTATTC